TTTTTTGCCTCATAGATTGAGCCTCGAAACACAGAAGCTGCGCCTCACAGTGAGGCGGGCCTCAGCAAGGTTTTTTCATACCATGGGAAGGGGCAATACCATACTGAAGGAATCTATGAAATTCCACACAAAATTTACTTCTGTCACATCCTATGCAGATTACCTCAAAAATAGCATGAGTAAAGAATGCCTTTCACACCAGGTCCCACAAAATGAGGTGCACTGGGAATTGCTCAACCTAACTAAACATAGTTAACCAGATTTTTTAATCCTGAGACGAATAGTTTTGAAAGGATTTTTGAAGAAGTAACAACAAATATATTGAGAAAATTGAGATTTTTTTTTAATAACCGTGGATGTCCGGGCCAGCTTGAGCGCACCTCGACTAATCTCACGAGACCCTGAAGTTTACGGTCGGGTACTTACCTCAGTGGCCCCTAAGGGAAAGAAAATTGAGATTTTGAGAGAACAATAAAAATAGCTTTTGAATATTCATACCTTCATTGGAGTAACATTATAGGTAGATACACCGGTTATGGGAGTTGAACTTCGATTTTCAGCAGTGTAAAATGCAAGAGCACTCTTTCCTGGCTTGACCCTCACCTGAAGTCAGATACGATAGAAATTTGATTAAACATTTAAAACAAGGTAAGATACCTTCAGTATGTTCAAACGTACGGGAAAAAAAACATTTTCGCAGATATGTGCATAACATAAGCACCTCTCTCTGTGTTGGCACAAATTTCCAGGGCATTCCATCAGCCACGTCAGCATTGAACTGTACAACAATCTCCCTGTAAGCACAAGACCAAAAGGACATCCAAACTTGACATACATAATGCAAGATTCACAGATTCTTACTGATTCTAAGCCCTTGTTTGGGCTCCATTAAAAATGCATTTTGGTCAAAAATTCATTTTTGAATAGTAATATATTGGAGAATGTGGGGTTTGAAAAAAAAAAAAAAGTTTTGAATCTACGTGTAATATTATTTTATTAAAGAATGTGTGGTTGAAAATAAAATAGAGAAAATGTATTTTTGGAGAATGGTAGCCAAACGGGGCTAAACCATGAGGCCTTGCTTTGCAGAATATGCCAAGAACAATGGAATTACATTTGTCAGATTTAGCCCTTGTTTGAGCTCCATTTTTTGGGATAAATAAATTTTATAATAGTAATTTTTTGAAAAATATGTGGTCAAAAAGTGGTAAAAAATTTTGGGTTTATTGTACAATTATTTTTTTGGAAAAAGTGTGGTTGAAAATGAGTTTGAAGAAAAATGATTTTTTGAAAAATGGGCTCAAACAGAGGCATGGTATATTCTTTGAAGTGTAAAGGCACCTTGTTAATTCAAGTTAAAGAAAATGGATTTTATTTTACACAAACCATCTCTTATTAGGACCATACACATGAATTATTGGATGAAAATGGGATCAAAGAGAACTGACTAACGAGAGGTGAAGCTTAAACCTTAAGGATTTTTTAACACGTCGAAGTTATTCAGATGAAAGATTTATGTTGGCTTCCTCCAATCTTCTTTGAGCATCACTTCCAATCTGAGCAAGCTGCCATCTTAATTATACCAAAATCTATAAACAACTCGTTCTGACCTTTTGGATCTTAAATATGGGAGCAAGATGGAGAAAATTAGAAGTCAGAGGAAATAGACATCCTATTTGTTCTCCCACAAAAAATAAATCCTAATATCAGAATTATGTATATTCAAGAGTGTCTTGGAAGTCATTGGCATTTATTGAAAGATAGTGATTATTTTCAATGAAATTTTGGAGGATGGGTGTATTTCAATCGAATTTTTCAATCATAATGTCTGCTTATTTCTCGTCATATTTAAGTTTCCCTTACATTTCTCTTTTTTTTTCAAAAAATTACAACTAAAAATTAATAGGTCTAGCTCCTTTTTCACCATCCTTCTTGTCTATGATCCAAAGAGACCATTCTGGAAATAAATGCAAATCCCTTATGAATGAAGAACAGCAGAAATTATTATAGTTATTCAAGTAATTAAAGCCACACCTGGTCGTGAGCGTTCCATCCTTGGTATGGCGAGCTATCTTTTCTTCAACACTCTGTCACACCAAGATATTGCACCATTACACATTAATAAAACATCAAAGAAGAATAGAAGCATGGATATAATTAATCGAGGCTAACTTACCTCACGACGTTGAACAGTGCCTCCATGACCAGTAGCCTGGCAAAACCTCCTATATAGAGGAACTGCAGCATAGCTACATCCTACCATTGCAAATACAATCCCATCAAGTACAATATCATCTTATTCGATTTCTTTTCTATGGAAGCATGAGTAGCATATTGCCGTCGATTAATAGAAGAAAATGGCCTCTCCACATTATAACTCCTCAACTGCACTCTATTACTTTCACGCACTGGAAAAAAGCTCCGATACTCAAAACGGAATTCTCCCCCATGTATATTATAGTTGCTTGGTCCATAAAAAATGCACCTTGGTGCAACAGCTTGAAGCAGGTGCCTTGATTGGGAATATAAATTATCTACGTGGGCATACAGAAAAAAAAATGGAAATCCTAATTTTGTGAAATGTATAATGTTGACCTCGAAAAATGGCTCGGACACGTGGCCAACAGGATATGTCTTCAAGCTAAATCCTCCTGCACACGTAGCACGCCGTCAGTCACTCGAGGCCTCTCCCTGATGGGGTAGGCGCTGACGCAAGCACTCCGACGGTCAAGTCAGATTTATGAT